GACTTTTATAAGCCACTAACTAGGTCTGAGTGATTAATTTTGCTAATGAATAACTTACTTTTTGTCTAATGTATCGCTAATTCTTGAATAAGAACTTACTCACTCAAGGTCGAACATGTTGAATAAAAAAAAGTTATTAGCATTTTTGTATGGAAGAGTCCCAAAGCAGGGAAAATTGATTTAATAAGAAGGCACAGGGATGAAAGGGATTTTTAAGATTACGCCGAGAGTTCTGTGCGCAAACATCTAAACAGGAAGTCGGCGGGATAGCAACTATAACTGGTCACAGAATTGGGTTATTAGGAAAGATATGGTAACGATGAGCTAAAGAATTTGTTTTAATTAGGTTAGAGTATGTCTTGGCCGATTAAACTCAATCCAATGCATGTATGCCTTAACACGCAGATGCAATTATACACAATTATGCATAGATTTTTTCCAGATTATTGTGGATAATGTAGGAGACAAGAGTAAATAATAGGCCATCAACCACTTAAAAGGACTGTTCAGGGATATCAGTTTAAGCATCGTTTATTATCGCTCGCAAGGGGATGGACGAAAAATGGGCAAATAAAAATGTTCAATACCTTATTTGGATCAAAATAATGTTAATAGAAAGACGATGGTGTTAGAGCTCGACCCTATCCTTGGTTTACTGCCGGTTCTTGGACTTTCTCCAAGCTTGGCTTTTGGGTTTTTTTTCCTATCTGTTAAGGATACGGGGTGAGCTTGCCATTAATTATGCTATCACGGTGTTTAAAGGACAGATAAACTCAAGTTAATAGCCCTATGAGGCATAGCTACAACAAATTTCTTCGATTTTCAGTAGTTTCTTTGTAGGAAGCTCTTAAAACTAAATGGAATAGGTCTTGCTCCTCTTGGACCAAGAGAAAGATTTTTCACGTCAAGAAGATTGCCATTTGTTGCAAGGGTTGCAAGTCTGGAGACCAAATTCTTATTCAATATTTTCTTTCTAGCAGTGCAGTCTTGATAGCTGGAGGTTGAGCAGCTTATAATCGTTGTTAGGCCATACGAAACTGCGGCTTAAAGACAGAAAATGACGACATTTTCCATGTCTTCCTCCTTTAGTCTTGGCCTTAAAGGATTAAAATATCTATACTTAGGCTACATTTTTTTTTGTCCGTACCTAAACGGTTCCAAAAATTAAATGATCTTAATATTATATTATAATTGAAATATAGATAAGTATATTTTCTTGATTATATCATTTTTTATGAGTGATTCCGTAATGTAATTTAGGCCATGCTCAGAATTGGCAAGAGGGCATGGCATTAAATGCCCTAACTTATTGGAATTCCAACAGCAGAGAGAGATTAGTGAATTTAACTAGCAGCGTAAATATTAGATTTCACAATAATCTGTGCCAGATATTTCATAATTGTAGGTAATGTCGAGGATAGGGAGATATTCTACAGGTATTTTGGACTTTCCCTATCCATAGACAAACTTTAAGTATGCATTGCCTACAAAAGCATTATTTACAAGCTGTTAGGACTGCGTATGACCAAATTATTTCTTCTCGATTAAGATCAACTGTCTATTAAACGGATGAGGTCAGATGGCCTGATTATAAAGGGGAATTTTATAGTGAGAAGAATATATGTATACAACCAGCTTTTCTCGGGTAGAGGATTAAAACTTTCTTTGAAGAAATGCAGCTTAATTTAGATGATTTTAATTTAACCTCTGAATTTCCGCATACGATTGTAACCCAGGAATTTTTAAATTCATAAGGACATATGGAAACTAAATGAAGGAATATTTTCTAAATACGATCAGGCCAGTCGTCTTTTTACTTTTTTTAACCATGAAAAAAAGAAGCTTGTTGGCTCGTCACACTCACCCTTTACAAGGACGTTCAACCTGGGCGATTGCCTTCCCCAGCCCAATTCGCTTCTGCCTCTGCAGCGGTACCAGCCCTCGTCTTCCCGCGTCACCGGTTCCCATTCGTGCCAGTAGATGACAGTCTGAAAGGTAAAAGCAGAACATTATTAATAATACAAATAATATCTACTTACATTATACTACTTTCAATGATTGGTGATCATGTCTTTTGCCTAAGGTCATTTGCTAATGAAGATATGTAATCAAATTACTACAAAGTATAAAGTCCTCCTGATAATGATATGTCTGTAGGATATTACATAACTCGACGAGACAGCCAAGATTCACCATAGCAATAGAATGATTGCTGTGTCATAATTTAGGAGTTTTTCAAATTTTCCTTATATCATATTCATGTCTTCCGCTTAAATGGGGTCTTAATTCACTGTAGACTATGAAGCAAAATTTTAATCATGGCAAATTAAGAGCCGAGTACTTTATGTAGGGGGCAATTTCGTAATATTCAAGATGCCTGAGCATAAGTCTTGTTGCTAGATTCCTCTGCCACTCGTCAAAATGGATTTATCTTACTTGGTAAAATTGTTACCGGCACTTAAAAGGGGACTTAATATTCAAAGAGGTTATACTAATTTTCATTTATCAAACATTACTCTAAAATAATAGGGCAAATTATTACCTTTCTCGATTAGGGCAATATGTCCAACCTAATTTTGCTTAGACAGCAGAATATTAGTTACTTCAAGTCGACTGATGTCAAAACTTTTAATGGAAAGAATGTTTCAATGATAACTATACGATTCTTTTAATATCACCTCTCCGATTATTTAACACAATGTCATACTAGTTGACACTTTTTTGTTTATTAAGAGATATGAATATTTGCTTTACACTTTAAAGGACCCACCCCCTTTACAGAGCATTGTTTATTTTTCATACGATAATCCGATCTTTGATGGACCGAAGACAACTAGATTAGGGTATTTTTGTAGTTGAAGGGTATAAGAGGAGATGAGCATAAAATTTTTCTTGATACATCAGCATTCTCATTAAGAGTAGTAATTTCAGTAGTATTAACTAGTCTACTACTGACTGAAATTTGCCTTTGGTTTGGACAGAAGTTCTGCTTAATGAATTCAATATTAATTGACTGGGTCAGAGTTTCTGCCTTTCGTTTATTTATTTTTTCCTTACTTTTCGTCTCCTTATTATTATTTTTGCCATAATTCTCTTTATTATTTTTACATTCTAATTCAGCCCTTCCACCCTCCCTCCACCATTGCAAACTTATCTCCTAACTAAGTGTAATTGGTCGCGATGCCTGGACAGTCCAGAAAAACAAAATACGAGAATAATCATGGTGCCGAGAAAGTTGAACATCGCT